GACATCAAAGCCCTTTGTCGGCAGCCCCGTTATTCCTCGTGGAATGAGGTTTACCGGGGCTTCCAACAAAGGGCTTTGATGTCGACAGGGGGAACGTCCCGACTAGCGCGCGAGCCAACAAACAGCTGATCAGCTGTTTGTCGGCTCAGCGCGGCAGCCATGTAAATGTAAATTAAGCCGCGATCATTTAAATCGCGGCTTCATTTGCCTTTGCCAAAACAACAAATCTACATGGCTCCGTCGACGGAGCCATGTAGTTTAGACATACCCATATAGGCAACAGCTAAGGGGTATCCTAGACTTACTGTGTTTTAGCACATATAACCCGCGGGTTATATGTGCTAAAACACAGTAAGTCTAGGATACCCCTTAGCTGTTGCCTATATGGGTATGTCTAAACTACATGGCTCCGTCGACGGAGCCATGTAGTTTAGACATACCCATATAGGCAACAGCTAAGGGGTATCCTAGACTTACTGTGTTTTAGCACATATAACCCGCGGGTTATACAAAGTTTTACAAAACCCCGCAACTCCACCACGGGGTGTACATATCTGTGGGGTATATAAGTTTATTTTTACTTGCCTGGGCGCGAGTGCGGCTCCACTCCCGCAGGCCAGCCAGCTCGCCTGCACTGCACTCTCCGGTCCCCACCTCCCAGAGGCTGCGGCTGATATGTGCAATTACCTGGTACCTTAAAGTAGCATATATAACATATGTGCAGTTTATCTAAGACTTTTTTTTTTAAATACATTTAGGAAAAAAACGTGGGTTATACACGAGTGCGGGTTATATATGCTAATTTACGGTAGTTAAGGAGGCTTGGGAAAAACAGGAATCATCAGTCCAGAGCTCGTTCCCTTACATTTTACACCTGAGGGAGAGGTTGCAGCGGTTAGGGGACTTCTCCAAAGACAATTTGCTCCAGGCCCAAGAAAAACAGGCATATTATTATAACAGAAAGGCTAAGTTGAGAGAATTTAAACCCAGAAATAGGGTACTTCTGTTGTTGCCCACGAAGGAATCTAAGCTCTTAGCAAAATGGCAGGGGCCCTTTGAAATTATTCATAAAGTAGGGGCTGTAGATTACAAGGCACACTTGGTAGACAAGAGGCACGGGACACAAGTCTACCATGTAAACCTTTTGAAGAAGTGGAACCTGTGCGAGAGTTTGTTGATAATTTCCTCCCCACCACCCATCAACCTAGGGCCCAGGGCAGAGGATGCTGGGGGTCCCAGGGAGGTGGTGATGGGGGAGGAACTGGCTTCTGCCCAGAGGAAGGAAGTGCTAGAAGTCCTTAAGTCTTACCAAAAGGTATTGTCCGCGACACCAGGATGCACCTCATTAGTGAGTCACCATATTGCAACGGTCCCAGGACACAAAGTACGCAATCCAATACGCCCACTGCCAAGAAAAATGTGGGACACGGTGCGAGAGGAAGTGCAGAATATGTTTCGAAGTATCCCACGGGGACTGGCAAAGTTCAATAGTCTTAGTGCCACGGCCGAATGGAGCCGTTCATTTCTGTATTGACTTTTATAAGGTAAACGCTATTTCTCGGTTCTACGCCTACCCGATGCCCTCGGTGGATGAACTTTCGGAGAGGCTGGGACAAGCTCACATTCGACATTAGATTTAACAAAGGGGTACTGACAGATTCCATTGACGCTTATGTCCAGGGAAAAGACCACTTTTTCTACCCCCTTTAGGCTATTTCAGTTTAGGACTATGCTGTTTGGGTTGCATGGGGCTGCGGCAACATTTCAGAGATTGATAGACCAGGTACTTAGAGAACACCAACCATATGCTGCAGCCTATATCGATGACATTGTCATTTATAGCCTAACCTGGACTGAACTCCTGCAGCATTTGCAAGTGGTGTTGAGGACGCTTAAGGATGCGGGACTCATGGCTAACCTGAAGAAATGTCATATAGGACAGTGGGAGGTTACATACTTGGGATATACAGTAGGAAGGGGGAAGCTAAAGCCCCTAGTGAGCAAAGTCCAAGCCCTCGCGGAATATCATACCCCTACAATCAAAAAGCAGGTCCGTCAATTTTTAGGACTGGTCAGCTATTATCGAAGTTTTATACCTGACTTTGCAATGGTAGCTGCTCCATTGACTGATTTAACCAAAGGGATACAACCTAAGAAGGTGTGCTGGTCGGGCAGTGCGAATGAGTATTTCAGCAACTGAGGTCATGCCTGACACAAGCTCCACTGGTGGTGCAACCCAGCTTCTCAAAAGAGTTTATTTTACAGACTGACGCATTGGTGGTTGGACAGGGAGCCGTTCTGGCACAAGAGATCAGAGGGGAAGAACATCCAGTATTATACTTGAGCTGAAAGCTATTCCCCAGAGAGCAGACTTACTTGACCATAGAAAAGGAGGCGTTGGTGGTGAAGTGGGCAATAGAGGCTTTGAGGTACTGCTCAGGAATCCTTTTAAACTGATAACAGACCATGCTCCACTATGGTGGCTCCAGTCGATGAAGGATACTAACCCATGAATAATGAGGTGGTATCTAGCCTTACAGCCCTACAAGTTCGAGGTACTATATCGGGCGGAGACGAAGCATAGCAACGCTGACTTCTTCTCAAGGTCTAAGGAAGGAGAAGAGGACACACAGGAAGGAGAAGTAAGAAACCTGAGGGTGAGGGTGTGTGATGGGGTGTCGAACTATCTGCTGGAGGTCGCTAACTCCCACGCTCCCCGAGACGCCACAGAAGCGCTCTGCGGCCAAAAGACAGCCCCGCGGCAGTGGTGCGGGGTTCACTCAGGTGCCATTCTGAGCGCATACGTGGGGGTGCCTGCATGTGAGCGCACCGGCATAGGTGTGTGAGGGGGAGGAGAGATGGGGCACGGGCCCTTCAAAAGGTCAGTGCTGGATGCCAGAAGGGGCGCGCAGGGCCTGAGCAGAGGAGACTAAGCAGGACGGAGAAGAGGAAACGGCCCAGGACGGAGAGGAGGAAACGGCCCAGGACGGAGCGTCCGGAAGCCCGCGGGTTGGTGAGTTACGGGGTATGTCCCCGCCAACCAGACAGGGGAGTGTCCCCTGTCCTTAGGGTTCTGGGTCGGGATCTGGAGTGAGGGAAAGCTCAGGTCCCCCTCCCCTCTGAGGCTAACAGTGCCATTCCAGGGACCCAAGAGTTGCGAGCCACAAGTGAAGACTGAAGGACATTTATCCTGAGCAAAGGACTCAGTTAGGACACAAGGGGACACGGGGAAAAGAGTTTAGGTGTGAACGGGGTTTGAGGATGGCAAGGGGAGCACTCCTGATGAGAAGGCCCCTGGAGGCCCGAGGGAATACACCCCAGAACACCCCCATAGGTCATGGAAATTCTTGTGAAGTTCCCTTTGGCTGTGATATTGGAATTCATGTGTGTTTTTATTCTCAGGGGTTTTATTGTTTGGGCATGCATTAAACTAACCATCACTATTTGTTTAAAGTATGTCCAAACAACAAACATTGTTTGTTTAAGGTATGCCCAAACAAACCAAATATGTTCAACCTTCTACTGTCAAAGAAGGAAGTAAAGTCCTTTATGTAAAAACAATCCAAGCCCATTTTTAAATTCATTGATACTAGGAAACCCACCTCAACTGACTTTCAATGTATGTTGGACATTTAGCTGAAGTTTGGGCTTTTAAAAATCTCCCATAATTGTTGAGTTATAATATCAAAGAACAGCATTTCTAGAACAATGTGAGTTACAGTTATTGTCATGAATAAATGCTGAAATGAGGAAAAAGTACTTACGGTTGTGCCCCAATTTCTCGAAGATGATAAAAGAGCTGAGGGAGATGGGTTTGAAGAAGTGTCTCAAATAACAAACATAGTGACACAATGCCCTAGAAAAACAACACCACACCCTAAAAACATATTTTCATAAATTACTCACACAGACTATACTTTGAGTAAATAATATTCAAATTTAAAAATATATTTTTAATTAAAGCATTAAGACAAATTATTAATACATTAGTGATACACAACTAGAGTAACATGAGCAAACCAGATATCTTCACCCTTTAAGGTCCTGATCCTACAAGTTCCACTCCTGAGTAACTTTATATTTGAGTTGTCACATTCAATTTCAAGTCATCCATATGCAGTATCTGTAAGGAAAAGGTCTAATGTCCAGATTTTTATAGCCATCAAAAGATACAGATAGGTGCCTAAGTAGGACTTTAAAAGCACCTAAGTTCCACTGATTTTAATAGTAGTAGATTAGGTATTTTGAAAAATCCCATATAGGCACTTATGTGCATTTTAGATGCCTAAATATTTTTAAAAAAATCTGTCTCTAAGGGTATGTGTACACTACCTGGCTATTTCGGGATACCTATCCCTCTTCTACACAAGCCATCCATTATTTCAAAATATTTTTCGAAATAATGGGCAAGCTATTTTAATATCCCGGTAAGCCTCATTGCACAAGGGATAAGAGATGGCTCGAAATACTGCGTTATTTTGAAATTTGGCTCTATGAAGATAGCTTATTTTGAAATTTGGCCTACTTAGAAATAAGATATGCAATTTGCATAACTAAAATTACATATCTTATTTCGAGTTTAGGATGCTGTGTAGACGCACCCTAAGCCTATTAAAGGCCCAGTATTACGCAACCCATGCGGGTTTTTTTTATCAGAATAAAAGTAATACCAGTTACATATAGACAAGGCTTTTTGTATTATCTTTCATTAGACAAAGTGATAGCTGAAATTATTACAAACAAGTAAAAGTTAAGTAGTCTAAACTGTGGGAGAACATTTAAAAATTTCTCCCATTTAAAAATCATAATGGAAACTAGAATACATTTCCATACCATCAGGTGCCATGCTGCTAATATCCCAAAGCATAGGTCTAATCCAGAAGATGTTTATTACCAGGTACAATATCTACCACTGTGATAGTCATTTGTTTATTTGACCATCATTGTTACCATTCACAGTACTAAGCTTTTTAACAAAACAGTCCACCATCTGTAGCAAAATGGGCTCTTAGTAGCCTTCATCTTTTAATGTTATTAGATATTCTTCTGTGCTGTTCACATAATTAATAATACATTGTTACATAATTGGAAATATATTGCTATGTACATTTATAAAACCTCTTAATGTAAAAATACTTTGCTAGATTTTAACATTTTCTACAGCTTATATAGAGCAAGAAGAACTCAAGAGAATTTTCAAAATTGTATACTTAGCTAAATGAATGCCATTTTATTTAAATAAACGTATTTTATCAAAATGCAATTAACAACCAGATTCTATGTGAAAGTGAAAAGAAAAACTAAATTGAGATCCCTTTGAAAGTTGGCTGGGAATGATTAAATCTATAAACTACAGTGCTCAATTCCTTAAGTGTTGTTCTGAATCGAGGCCTATATTATACAAAAGATTTGGCTCCCCCAAAGCCTAACAGCATGACTGCAGTATTATTAAGTATCTCTTTGTCAAAGAATTGTACCATTATTGAAGTATAAATTACAGGATTTCAAATAAAGTTATATAATTTTACTTCAGCCTTGCATCACATTTTTATCATAGTTAAAGTGACATTAGTCAGCCACGTACGCTTAAGAAAATAAAATCATGCTATTATGCATTACTGTTCCATAACAAATAGAAATATAGACTTATTGGGTCTTACTTCCTAATGAACTTACAGAGGGATGAGAAGAGATGGAATGGAGTCTGAAGAAAAAACGCACATACATCTCACGGAATATCTGATACAATTTGGAAGGTTCATGGTACAGAAAACAAAGTGGAGCAACTGAAAGGATAAAAGAATTTAATTGACTCAATGCTGTAAAATGCTAAAATAGTTCAATGAACAAGTGCATGAAATATGAGAAAAAACATACCAATAATATCTTCAGACTAATACATTTATACATTAGTTCTGACTTATTTATTTTAAAAAGTATATTTATTTTTAATATTAGATATTATAATAAAAATAAATGACAAACAACATGAATACTATAGTCCATATTAAAATCCTATAGATATCAAGAGGCAGAACAAACTAGATCCTGCCTATTCCATAGACCTGGCCTTGCATGAGGATCAAAAATATGTTTTCAGGGTGGATGGTCCAGTCGTTTGGGTGCTAGCTAGGTACTCAGGAGACCTGGGTTTAATTTCATACTATACTGTAGACTTCTTATATATGCTGGACAAGTTACCTGGTCTCTCTTGGACTCAGTTCCCCATCTGTAAAATGGATTACAGATATTTTGTGAAGAAAAATACTAGGGATGTGATAGTATACACATTTAAAGTGGGCTCATTGATTAACCTTCACAGTTACCCTCAATGCAGCTGCACAGGGGGCCGGGAGACGGAAGCAAACAGCTCTGCAGAACCTGGTACACACAGGGAGCCAGCTTTTAAGCCAACTGCCCACACACACTGACTCCTGCGGAGCCATCTCCACCCCTTACTCTTGTGTGTCAATGTAGTGGTTATATGTTTACCCACAAAATGCATTTTAAAATCCCAAGTAAATACATAAAGACAGTGAGTTACTCAGGTACTACAGTAGTAAAGACCATATAAGTAAGATCAGTCAAACAATACGTGGACACTTTCTTACTCATTTAACAACCTGGACAAAAATTTACTGGGCAACCATTATAAAGCCCTTTGAATACCAGCTGATACAAAAAAAAATGCTGTCTAATGAAACTAAGCTGGAGATTTCTAAAGTAAACATTATTTGAACTGTAAACCTTAAGTAATTTTTAAAGAGCCAGTTTTTAAAACAAAGCTCAAGTCAGGTAGAGAAAGGGAAGGACTTCTGGTTGTGATTTCAACATAGTCAACTGTGTAGTCTTTTGGAGGAATTTGCAATCAACTAATTGAATACTTAGAAGTTGGGTTCAAACTGGATTCCATACTCAAGTGACAATCTTCTGAAGCTCAAACAGAGAATACGGATTAAATATGTATTGTCAAATTACTAAGTAGCAATACCTACTGAGGTTCTTTCCCATTAGGACATCCCAGGCTACCTATGCTGTTCAACAGAAAAAACTACTGACATCAGAAAAAGCAAAAACTTAACTAAACAAAAACATTCCCTTATCATCTGAAGCAGGACCATTTTTAATTAATACATTTGCACCAGCTGTCTTGTCAGTTTGGAGTGCTAATGAATGTTTCACAAAAATACAAAAGTGATATGTTTCTGGAATTCTTATTGGCATATTGACACACTCACCTAATCTAAACTTTTTTAAAATCAGGTGATCTTGATTTCCGGAGAAGACATACCAGTGCAGTAATGGGAGACAGCCCCAAAACATCCAATATTAACAAGTTGCTACAATTTTGTTAATTAGTCATGACATCTCATTACATGAGGTTATATACTACTTGTTCTAGCCAAGTTCTTGTGTCAGAGGTAGGGATGTGAAAGGTTAACCTGTTTACCAGTTCTGGTTAACTGGTGGGGACTAGAGCAGCTCCCCACCTGCCACAGGTAGGGGGATGCTCCAGTCTCACAGAGCCCACCAACAACATAGGCGCTCCAGACTGGCCAGCGCAGCCCCTTTCTGTGGAGAGCCCTGGCAAATGAGATCAGTCTTAACATCTGACTACAAGCACAAGCATAATAAATAAATGGCTAAAAAGCTACGTAGCAGTTTACCAAAAATATGTGAATGATGTGATATAAATGGTGGTTTATTTACAAAAATCTATTGTTACTTAAAATATTAATATGTGAAAGCCATACCTACCATACATTGAAAAGCCATGAAAAGGGATTACACCTACAAAATAAAGAAGGTTCTTTCATTCTTTTATTTTATTTATCAATGGAAGTATTAATGTTTATTGCTTTTTCAAATTCCCAAAATGACCTTTGTGCTTCATAGAAATAAGTGAAGACATATTCCATGTACTAAAGTGCTTGATATGTAGACCCTAATTTTGCAAACACACGCATGCTTAATTTAAATGGGGTAGTCCCACTGATTTCAATGAAACTACAGGTTGAACCTCTCTAGTCCAGCACCCTCAGAACATTTAATCAAACCATGGGAGGCCAATATTGTCCAGCAGCAGTTTGACTGCTTACTGGGCTCTTAGATGACATTTAGGGATAAATTAGAGCTAAATAACAGCACAGAACAATGAAAGCCAGGATTGGTGGCTGTAAACAAACTTTATGGGAACACAGGAAACTTGGCCACACCCATGATAAGTGGACATCTGGCTAACTGAGATCATGACGGAACATAGACATTGCCAGACCAGAGTGCCGAATTAGAGAGGTTCAATCTGTATTCACATACTTAAAGTTAAGTGTGTGCACACACACACTTGTAAGGACCTGATTTAGCAAAGAACATAAGTACATGTTTAACTTCAAGCATGTGCTTATGTGCTTTCATGAAATCTAGGCCTTAACTTCAGATAAGCAGCAGCTAGCAAGAACCATACGCTGACAAGAAGGATAGAACAGAGAAAGAGAGTTACAATAATGAGTTAATCCAGTACCCAGTAAAGACATGTAGACATCTTTGGCAGTTATATTGCTTTAGTTTTGCTTTCCTTTCCAAATTATCTCAGCTCCCATAGTTGACATGGCTGAAATGAGTGTTTAGAGGGATTTGAATGAGGAGAGGGAGATGTTTTGGCAAATAAGTTTTAAGGAGGACGCTTCATTCTGAGGGGCTGCATAAGAGAATACATGGAGACAGAAATGAGAGAAGGGGACAGAGAATGTGCCAATAATGACATCATTGCTGGAACTCAGAAGACGCTAAAGGAGACAGATAGAAACACAAATGCAAGATCAGTGATGGAGCACCTTGAAAGCAAAGACAAAGAGCATAAATTTGACATACAGTGCAATGAAAAGCCAATGACAGGACTCTAAAGGGAGGGAGTTTGATGTGGACAAAATGACCAATGAGGAAAAAAAAAGATTATAACAGTATCAGTAAGGGTAACATTAATAGCATTAACGTGAAAAATATATTCGTATGTTGAAATGGATTAAGCAGTGCTACAGTCAGGTCCTCTAAACAAAGAATCAAGAAAAGTGAAGTATGCTACTCTTATCCTATGCCATCAGAATATTCCCCCATCTAGACAGAGAATCTTCAAATTGCTAAATTTAATATGGCTTTGTAGTGACACAAAGGAATCTAACCCAGTGTGATTTGGCATAAATGAACTTTAATCCAATTATACTACTGCCTGAGGTTCACTCTTATCCTGCTTATTTGTTAAGTATAGCTTATCTTTCCATTGCAATAAGTAGTAATTTTCTCATCACCCACTAGAGGAGGCAAAAGTATAACTCCTACCATTTGGTGGATAAAAAACAGCATATTCTTCCATTCCGAGTTTTCCTGTGAATGAGCAGACATGGATTTAAACATACACAAATGGTAAAAGGGCTCTAGAAATGTGATTCCCCCCCCCCACTTTTCAGTAGTATCATTACATAAGTCCATTAATTATTAATTATGTTTTTATATAGACCCACAAGCATGAAAAGCATTTCACATGAGACAGAGTAAAGGAGATATTGTGTTCCTCAAATGTAAAATGTAGACATGACACAACAAAGGAGACTGGCAAACAGTAAAGAGGAGATAAGGGAAAAGAAGGGTTTCAATAATTCCATTACATGGAGACAGTGAATGCATACATACATATATTTTGGAGATTCTGTTATGCTTTGTGTTTTGTTAAACAACAATAAAGTGTATTACTGACTCCGTCACTGCAGAAAAAAGTGAGTTTTCAGAAGAGATTTAAATGAAGAGGAGAATGCTTTGGTAGACCAGAACACAGAGAATGTTCTATGGATAGGAATAACACTTGGGAAAAGTGCAGAAATATTAGTTCAGAAAAAGGAAACTGTTGCATTCAGGAGGAATCATTAAAACAATGGAGAGGTATCATAACTGATTTATTTGGAATATTTTTCTTTCCTATCTTAAAATCCCCATTGCTCCAACAAGCCTTTTTTCAAATCTAACACCGATACCAACAAAAATAACAAAATGAACACCCAATTTCTTCCATCTCCTATTGAAAATAAGCATATGATAATAATATAGGATATTATTTTTGACCCACAATAAAAATATCAACAATTTTTAGGCATAATGCATTGCTTGTCTTAAATACAGCTGCACCTTAAAAAAAGATATTTTCAATTTCTTTCTTACTGTTTTAAAAATAGAAAAACAGCATCGCTTGCCTGGTAACTTCAGTCGTGCAGAACGCAATGCCATCCACAGCCTCCAGAACAACTCTAACATTATAATCAAAGAGGCTGACAAAGGAGGTGCTGTTGTCATCATGAACAGGCCTGACTACCTAAAGGAGGCTGCCAGACAACTCTCCAATACCATATTCTACAGGCCTCTTTCCTCAGATCCCACTAAGGAATACACTAAGAAACTGCACCATCTGCTCAGGACACTCCCTACACAAGCACAGGAACAAATCGACACACCCTTAGAGCCTCGACCAGGTTTGTTCTATCTATTACCCAAGATCCACAAACCTGAAATCCTGGATGCCCCATCATCTCGGGCATTGGCACTCTCACTGAAGGACTGTCTGGCTATGTGGACTCTCTACTCAGACCCTATGCCACCAGCACTCCCAGTTACCTCCGTGACACTACGGATTTCCTGAGAAAACTACAATGCATAGGTGATCTTCCAGAAAACACCATCCTAGCCACCATGGATGTAGAGGCTCTCTACACAAACATCCCACATGCAGATGGAGTGCAAGCTGTCAGGAACAGTATCCCTGATGATGCCACAGCACAACTGGTGGCTGAACTCTGTGAATTTATCCTCACACACAACTATCTTCATTGATGACATCTTCATCATCTGGACCCATGGGAAGGAGACTCTGGAAGAATTTCACCATGATTTCAACAGCTTCCACCCCACCATCAACCTCAGCATGGACCAGTCTACGTGGGAGGTCCATTTCCTGGACACCACGGTGCAAATAAGTGACGGTCACATCAATACCACCTATACCGAAAGCCTAACTGACAGCTATGCTTACCTGCATGCCTCCAGCATCCATCCCGGACACACCACACGATCCACAGCCAAGCACTGAGGTACAACCGCATATGCTCCAACCCCTCAGACAGAGACCTACACCTACAAGACCTTCAACAAGCATTCTGTAAACTACAATACCCACATGAGGAAGTGAGGAGACAGATTGACAGAGCCAGACGTGTACCCAGAAGCCTCCTGCTACGGGACAAGCCCAAGAAAGAAACCAACAGAACACCACTGGCCATCACCTACAGTCCCCAGCTAAAACCTCTCCAAGTACCAGTGACAGTATGGCTGATCTGGTTAGGTCCTGTGATGGTGTTGGTGGTGTAAATATGTGGGAAGAGTTGGCACCGAGGTTTGTTGCAAGGATTGGTTCCTGAGTTCGAGTTATTATGGTATATTATATTATTATGGTGTATATTATGGTATATACACCAGCAACACCATCACAGGACCTAACCAGATCAGCCATACTGTCACTGGTACATTCTCCTGCACATCCACCAACGTAATATATGCCATCATGTGCCAACAATGCCCCACTGCTATATACATCGGCCAAACAGGACAGTCCCTACGTAAAAGAATCAATGGACACAAATCTGATATTAGGAATGGCAACATACAAAAACCTGTAGGGGAACACTTCAATCTTCCTGGACACACAATTGCAGATCTAAAGGTAGCCATCCTGCAGCAAAAAAACTTCAGGACCAGACTTCAAAGAGAAACTGCTGAGCTACAGTTCATCTTCAAGTTTGACACAATCAACTCTGGATTAAACAAAGACTGTGAATGGCTTGCTAACTATAAAAGCAGCTTCTCCTCTCTTGGAATTCACACCTCCAGATCAGCTACTAGAAGTGGGCCTCATTCTCCCTGATTGGATCCACCTCGTCATCTCCAGCCTGATTCTGGCCTGCATATTTATACCTGCCTCTGGAAATTTCCACTACATGCATCTGACGAAGTGGGTCTTTGCCCACAAAAGCTTATGCTCCAACACTTCAGTTAATCTATAAGGTGCTACAGGACTCCTCACCATTTTTTTAAAAATAGAAATAATTCAACTAGAACAGAGAAGCTAGTTATTTAAATCCCCTTTTAAAAATCTTAAATGGACTATTTGTTATTATAAGAGAAAGGTTCTTTTTGAATATTGTGTGTTTTCATCTCTTCTTTGCATTTTGCAAATGCTATGAAGTACAATCCTCACAATGAGAGATTTTGCCTAATCCAAGCAGACATCAAGAAAACTTGTATTACATTATATAGTTTCCTGTACAGTAGAATCCTAAAGTTATAAACATCTTGTGAAAGGAGGTTAACTCTAAAATGTTTGTAACTCTGAACAAACTATTGTGGTTGTTCTTTCAAAAGTTTACAGCTAAACAGTGATTGAAACGAGCACAGCTTTGAAACTCTGAACTTAGTTAAAAGCAGCACTTTCCTATCTTAACGTAAATGAAACAAGCACAGAATAGTTTCCTTACTTTGTCAAATCTTTTTTTTAAAACTTTCCCTTAATTTTTGTAGTAGTTTACATTTAACGCAGAACTGTACCGCATTTGCTCTTTTTTGTGGGGAGGGGGAAGGAAGAGGCTCTATGTTGCTGCTTGATTGCATAGTTCTGAGTCCAAATGACATGGGTGGTCAACCTGTCAGTTTGTAACTTTGGGTTTTGTACTAGTAACTAGAGGGAGCACTGTAGTAGAACCTCAAAGCTGCACAGCAGCACAGCTGATTAATCAGCCCCACCCAGGCAGAGGCTCAGGGTTCCATACATGGATTAATTAATTAGAGAGAATACTGTTGTACTGTACTATGAAACCAATAAAATTGGATCAAAATGGCCCTATTTCGCTATTACCAACTGAGTATACACCTACATGATCTCTGGGGGAAAAGAAAGTTTGTATACTTAATGGAGGACATTAGATTTAATACTGCCATATACATGAAATATTTAGTCACAAATACATTAAAATGTGGCTAAGTATATTTTAGGTTGGACATCAGGAAAAACTTCCTAGCTGTCGGGATTGGAGATATTTACAAGCAGGTTGGCTAGACATCTGTCAGGGATTTCTAGATAGTGCTTGGTCCTGCAGTGAAGTCAGGAGACTGGACCAGGTGTCTTCCAGTTCTGGTATTCTAGGATTCTCCCCCCCCCTCCCCCACACACACACACTTACACTTTTTGGGATCAGGAGTCCTTTACATGTGCAAAAATTTATGTGCAGCCCCAGCGGTTGTTGGGTCCACTGATTGTATGTGTTGTACCTATCAATGTTTCCAGATTGTCAACCTCACAGAGCCCCTGGAGATGTCTCGTGGAGCCCTGGGGCTCCACAGAGCATAGTTTGAGAAACACTGTTTTAGGGACATATGATAAGTTAAAGTATCATGTCCATTCTGCCCACTAATTCACAGGAACCAGAACCTGTTCTAAACCTCTAAGCAGGATCAAACAGATGCCTTTTTTTTTTAATGGCTCTGCTAATCTTGTCCTTTACCATTTTGTGGAGTTTCTCACTAAAATTAGATGCATTGGAAATCCAAGATAGTCAATATTCAGTTCTGCACCAATGATAACTTTAATCCAGTATCTCATGAATGGACTAGCAATGAGAGTATATAATTGGAAAGGGAAGATTCCCACCTTTCCAAGATTATATACACTACTTGCTCTTGGTTCTTCTGATACTTGCAGGCCCAGAAATGTTGAACTAAAAAGTTTCATAGTGCATAAAATATATTAGTTATATTTTCTTGCCCTTCCAAGGACAACATAGTTTAACTCAAGGGGTGAAATCATGGCTTTACTGAAGTAAATAGGAATTTTTCTTTTATAAAATAAGCAACATGTGCACAATACAAGAGAGTTTGATAGGGTAAAAGATTTTATTGTCACTCATTTAGTGTGTTTAAATAACTCTCTCATGACTAACTATATTATTCATGATTGGTGATTATCCCAACTTTATTCCAGTAAAACTTGACACCATTTTTCTCTGTATATATGTCACCAGAGAGAAAATATATCTATACTGGTCAGCTTTAACACTACTATTCACTCCCTGCAAGGGTGACCTGTACCTGCAAAGGGAGAGGGATCAGAGAGAGGACAACTGCTTTCAGCAGTGTTACTGAGCATACTCCATTACAAACCAAGAAGCAAATCTAAGGTAGCACATGAACACCACCCTCACGCACACATCATCTCACTTATAAGCAGTAAAACTAAAAAGAATCATGTCAGTTTCACTCAGCAGCTGCATATGGCTCTGTTATCCCAAAGC